CTCTCTCTCTCTCTCTCTCTCTCTCTCTCTCTCTCTCCCAGACCTAAACCTATCTGTCTTTGTGTTGGTAGGGGAATTCCACAAACACATTTTCACCCAAAAAGCAAATGTATCCTCTAACTAATGGAGCCCATGCAGCCAATACCACAGGAGAAAGCAATGGGAATGCCAGGTATATTTTTTTTAAGAGTAATGATACTGGGACTTATAATTTTGACTTAATGATATGATTTAATTGTAATCACTATATTAATACTAAGTTTTAATATTTAATCGGACCCACGAACGATTAATCTAATAATTATAATGAATTAAGTCAACAAATTAGATAATTGGCAACCACATTATAATATAACTATTGGATGATAAATATGTCCTATTTAATATTGAAATTAATGGTTGTAATGAATTAACTCAATCGGGTCCCAATAGCTTTGTTTTGCTCTAAATCAAATACATATTGTGTTCGTTTTATAAACGTATTATGAGTGAATTAAATATTAAATTATATTATTATTTATTTAATCAAATTTAATACTTTATTCAATAGATAAATTTTATTTCATATTAATTTAAAAAATATATACTTATCGTATATTTTTTATACGATAAACCTGTATTTTAAAATTATTTTAATACTACAAAGAAAAATGATATTATAATCCAACTGAAATTTATTATTGTATACATTTACTATTTTAACCTCACAACTAATAAAATCAAGTTGTTATCAACTTAACAAATATTGATTAAAGATATTTTTATTAATTCAACAATAATACGATAAAATAATTCTCTAATCAAACAACAATTTAAACTAAATAACGACTATCTAACGCTTATATTATGTATAAAATTTTGTATTATTCTAATGCCCTATTTATTTTTTGTCCATCTATATTATATTATACTGAATTTTTAATCCAATCCATCCGTTTCTAATACATTTCTAATACGGCAACAAGCGACGTCATTGATTCTTTAGATACAAAGAGCCATACTAATACCTACAATGACTACAGTGCATGTGATTATGGAACACTGAGTGAGAACAAAGTGAAGGGGAAGATTGTGCTCTGCCTTGGCTATACCGGTCAAGATGGCACGATCAATGACTTACATGGGTCTGGAACCATCATGACAACAGATCAGTTTTCAGACGTTGCCTTTACCTTTCTTCTACCGGCGACTTTAATCGATGTCAAGGCCGGCGAAAAAATCGATCGCTACATCAACTCAACCAAGTACGTTTTCTGATTTCCATTGATTAATATTAGTACAATTTTTAGGACGCAATGTAGAATGCACAAGAACTGTTAGATCTATGGCGTAAAAGAACAATGTATATACTAGTATTTAGTTAATCAACTACCCTTTTGGGTCAGCTGACATTATCTGTATAACTAAAACCTTAACATGGAAATGAATGGCCAAAAACCAAGGTATTAGAACAGTTCAGAAGGATTTGCACATAGAGATGAAGGAAAAACTGAACTAGTGTAAGCACTTTTACCTTAATTTTCAGTAATTTCTACTTACATCTGTCAAGCAATGTACAGGACGGCCAAAGCAGTTATATACAAGTCGAGAACAGTTAACATGACTGCACCCTTCGTGGCTTCCTTTTCATCAAGAGGACCCCAATTAATCAGTCAGCACATCCTCAAGGTGCATAAACCCTGTCACCACCCTCCCCCTCCCCCCCC